CGGCCACACACCGTGAAGCTACTGCACTAGACAGATCATCACAGTTAGCTCTTTGCTGTTAGCCAAACAAGTTCGCAGACTGTGAGCAAAGCATACATTTTTACTCCTCTGCAGGTTTATGCTTGTTTAGCAGGTGTTTGTTAAATGAATCGCACTGGCTTTTTACTCGTGAAGGTTTTATTGCACAAACATTAACGAGCATACTACTGCGACAGCAGCTGTCTGTTCCCTGTGTGTGTGCACGTGTGTGTTGGAGATGAGCACCGCACACTCTCCTTCATACACCAACACGTATGTGAAGTGGCTCCATAAACACCAAAATCTGATTTCTAATCTCACTCAGTGGTCTTTGATAAATTGCTCCAGTAGAGCCCTAGCATATTAGCACCAGTTCTCCTATTTGATTGTGAGTTACTACACCTACTACAGTGTACAGTTTGCTGGCTAGCTAGTTATGCGCTCGCCCTGCAAATGCATCTTTCCTACATGTCCTCCCTTAAGACATCCATGATGAGAACCGGCAACACATTCCCACGATTGGGTGCCATTTCAGTGTTGTCACCTGACACACCCCCAGCATTTCAAAGCAGAGAATATTCCTTACTTTTTCATGATTTTGACAGCTAATTTTATATACCTGGTGACTTTTAATTATTCAAATTTGTTTGGTTAATAACATCTTCCTGTGGTGCAGCAAACTCAGAACACATTTATTTCCACTTCACCCCTACTTTCACACATTAGTAGTAATGTATTGGAATTTACTGTTATCCTGTCTTTTTTCCCCTCATCTAAAACTTTGATTGTAGTGCATCTTCATGCAATAGATAAACAGGACTGAATACTTATGCTTGGAAATTATGTTGGCAAATGAGTCTCGTAACTAGGTCAAGTTCTGCATTGAAGTGCCACTGGTTATTGTTCAGAAATGTGGAAAATTGCCCCCTACTGGTTTAGCTCTATGAATGCTAATGGGACAATGTCCTATACACTGAATTGAGTTGGGTGCAAATAGAGGCACAGAGACAAATCAGAAGATCCAGTGACATCACTGGAGGACTGTGTGAACTGTGTGGACTTGGTACCAGGAAGCTTGTGATGAGTCAGAACAGGAAGTTGGTTGGTGCTGCCCACAGAGAAAGCCTCTAAGGCACTGGGATATGACAGAAGAAAGATGGGAGATGTTGTATTCATGTGACAAAAGTTCTTTTGTGGGAATCACAAGGACACAGTTGGGGTTTTGTGGTGGAGGGGTGATAGAAACATGTTTGAAACTGGGGAAGATTGCACAGGAATGTGGGGGCTTCTGTTTCTGACTCAAAGCTCCTCAAGGCCAAGCTGGTTCGAGGAGTGACATCATACATTTTGGTATGTTCCAGTTTTAGTTTTCTCCTGTTAACATCTAATTGAAAGAATTTGTTCCTGAATTTTGTGGTAGTGTGTTTGAGGGAGTCTGCCTCTACATTTAAATAAAGTCCAGATTAAAAGGAGAAAAAAAAGCAATTCTTCTCACTTAGGATAGATGGTGGTCATCTTGGCTGCTGCGTATCCAGGCTTGCACATTCCTTTGCTGAGGTTACCGTACTTGGATGTCAATTCTGGTGGCCTGTTCATGAAAAGAGCAAAGATAAAATCAGTCACATGATGATTGTCCATTATACTGACACCTTTCAAAGCTAAGCACGTCAAACAGCCTGCTTGAGACATAGGAAGTCAAACAACTCAGCACCAGCTCAGAATATCACCTGTGTGTGGCGAGACAAAGCAGAGGGGCCTTATTTCAATTATCACATTAGCAGTGCTAAAACTAGAACTCCCTAATTATTAGTGTGGTCATTAATAAGCATGCGGCCGTTCGGAGCTGTGGCCGTAAGGTCTCCGGTGCCTGTCGTGGTGGCAATCCCCGAACCCGGTGGTGGACACTGGAAGTAAGGGATGCTGTCAAGCTGAAGAAGGAGTCCTTTCGAGCCTGGTTGGCTCGTGGGACTCCTGAGACAGCTGACGGGTACCGGCAGGCCAAGCGGGCTGCAGCCCAGGCGGTTGCGGAGGCAAAAACTCGGGTCTGGGAAGAGTTCGGTGAGGCCATGGAGAAGGACTATCGGTCGGCCTCGAAGAGATTCTGGCAAACTGTCTGGCGCCTCAGGAGGGGGAAGCAGTGCCCTGCCAAAACTGTTTACAGTGGAGGTGGGCAGCTGTTGACCTCAACTGGGGACATTGTCGGACGGTGGAAGGAATACTTCGAGGATCTCCTCAAACCCGGCGCCATGTCTTCCGATGAGGAAGCAGAGGCTGAGGGCTCAGAGGTGGACTCGTCCATCACCCAAGCTGAAGTCACTGAGGTAGTCAAGTAGCTTGTCGGTGGCAAGGCACA